GAGGCGAGGCTGGGCGAGGTGGCTCACGCCTGTAATCCTAGCACTTTGGGAGGCTGAGGTGGGTGGATCACCTGAGGTCAGGAGTTCAAGACCAGCCTGGCCATCATGGGGAAACCCCATCTTTAAAAAAAAAAAAAGAGAGAGAGAGAGAGGCAGGAGACAACACTTCTAAGTGTGCCAGGGCAGGATCCTCTTTTGTCAGGCAGATAAAGGCATGAATCCATGTATAATATTTTTTTTGAGATGGAGTCTTCGTTCTGTTGCCCGGGCTGGAGTGCAGTGGTGTGATCTTGGCTCACTGCAACCTCTGCCTCCCAGCTTTAAGCAGTTCTCTGCCTCAGTCTCCCAAGTAGCTGGGATTATAGGTGTGTGCCACCTATAATCTAATTTTTTCTATTTTTAGTAGAGATGGGGTTTCACCATCTTGGCCAGGCTGATCTTGAACTCCTGACCTCATGATCCACCCTCTTCGGCCTCCCAAAGTGCTGGGATTACAGGCATGAGCCACTACTCCTGGGCCCATGGGGTCTGGCTGTGTTGCCCAGGCTAGACCTGGGCTCCAGCAATCCTCCCACCTCAGCCTCCCAAGCAGCTAGAACTGAAAGTGTGCACCACTTTGCCAGCTTTCATAGATAATTTTTATGCTTTTTCACTTCCTCTTCATTAATCTTGACAGACATCCCCTCCTCCCAATAAAAATACCCAGGACAGCCATGGTGGCTCACACCTATATTCCCAGCACTTTGGGAGGCCAAGGCAGGAGGATCACTTGAGGCCAGGAATTCAAGACCAGCCTGGGCAACACGGTTAGACACCCATCTCTACAAAAAAAAATATTTTTTTAATTAGCTGGGCTTGGTGGCACATGCCTGTAGTCCCAGCTGCTCAGGAGGCTGAAGTGGGAGGATTGCTTTGAGTCCAGGAGTTTGAGGCTGCAATGAACTGTGATCTTGTCACTGCACTGCAGCCTGGGTGACCCAGCAAGATGCTGTCTCAATAAATAAATAAACAAAAATATCCAATATTTAATGTACTGTCCATAGACTGCCTCTAGGACAGTCTTGAGAGCTTACAAATCAGCACTGGGGGAGAAAAAGCTGTCCCATAGAAAAATTGGCAGAATAGCACCAGGGAACTCACAAAGAAATATATGATTAATGAGCACCTCCCTTCAAAAGTCTGACCTTATTACTGTTTGTTTGTTTGTTTGTTTGTTTATTTATTTTGAGACAGAGTCTCACTCTGTCACCCAGGCTAGAGTGGTACGATCTCAGCTTGCTGCAGCCTCCATCTCCCAAGTTCAAGTGATTCTCCAGCCTCAGCTTCCTGAGCAGCTGGGATCACAGGTGTGTGCCACTACCCTGGCTAATTTTTGTATTTTTAGTAGAGACAGGGTTTCACCGTGTTGGATGGGCTGGTGTCGAACTCCTGACCTCAGGTGATCCACCCACCTCACCCTTCCAAAGTGCTGGGATTACAGGCATGAGTGCCTTGCCCAGCCTGATTTTCTGTTTTTGTTTAAGACAGAGTCTTGCTCTGTCACCCAGACTGGAGTGCAATGGCACCATCTCGGCTCAGCAACCTCCACCTCCCGGTTTCAAGTGATTCTCGCGCTTCAGCCTCCTGAGTAACTGAGATTACAGGAGCCCGCCACCATGCCGGGTTAATTTTTGTATTTTTTGTAGGAATGAGGTTTTGCCATGTTGCTCAGGCTCCTGGGCTTAAGCAGTTTGCCCTCCTTAACCTCCCAAAGGGCTGGGATTATAAGTGTGAGCCACTGTGCCCAGCCTGCCCAGTGAAATATTATCCCCCTTTTATTAAATAAGATGTTCTTCCTTGTACTTTATGGGAGAGTGCTAATAATTAAAATTTTGTATTATAAATTCAATATTAGGGCTGACTTTTTTTTTTTTTTTTCCCCGAAATGGAGGTCTTGCTCTGTCACCCAGGCTGGAGTATAGTGGCACAATCTCAGCTCATTGCAACCTCCACCTCCCGGGTTCAAGTGATTCTCCTGCCTCAGCCTCCTGAGTAGCTGGGACTACAGGCACCCACCAGCACACCTGGCTAATTTTTGTATTTTTAGTAGATACGGGGTTTCGCCATGTTGGCTAGGCTGGTCTTAAACTCCTGACTTCAAGTGATCTGCCCGCCTCAACCGCCCAAAGTGCTGGGGTTACAGGCATGAGTCACCACGTCCAGAGACATTTTTATTTTTATTTAATTAATTAGCTTATTTTTAAATATAAAGATGAGGTCTCACTGTGTTGCCCAGGCTGGTCTCCAACTCCTGAGCTCAAGTGATCCTCCTGCCCTGACCTCCCAAAGAGCTGGGATTATAGGCGTGAACTGACATGCCCAGCCTGAGTTGTTATTTTTATTCTGTCCATTTGATAATCTATTTGAAAGCTATACTCCTTGTGATCCAATCCCTACATTAAGTTGAAGTTAAATAAATACTAGTCTTACTCTGAAAGTCTTAGAGAACCATGTTGATCTTTACTGTAGATTAATTGGGCTGCATAGGAGTTTTATTCAGAGCATCACCCAGAAAGCTTCTAAACATCTTCACACAGTTCTCCTTTTCCCTACAGTTTCCCAGGTGTTAAAAATCTTTTCGCTGTCTCTGCACAGGGTTCTTACCTCATCCTGATGCTCTTCTGAATCACCTCCTCCTTCATGATTCTCCCTAACAGAGACTCATTCTGCAAGGATTCTGGTGAATAAAATTCTTCATCTACTTATACATCCTTAAAACAAATGTTTAATGAGCACCTACTGTGGGCTCTGCCATGAATAATCCTTCACATTTGGTTAGGCTTTTTTCCAGCTAAAGAGTTACTTTCATGTCCATTATTTAGAATAGGGGTCATCAAATCTTTTCTATAAAGGGCCAGCTATTTTTTGCAGTCCATGTCTCTGTCACAACTTTTCTTCTCGCCCTTGTGGTACAAAAGCA